TTTACATTTAAAACTATCTTCCATTGCCTTAATTGTTTATACATTTCATAGATTACCTCAAACTTTGTTCCCAAGAGGAAAGCATGAACTGGATACAATAGGTGGCGGTGTCTGAGTTAAATTCACAAGAATCAGTAAATATTTCTACAGCTAGTTCAAAGTGTAAATATTTGGTTCCTGAAGAATCTCTATTATTGCCTGAAGACTAATCTTGTCTAGTAAACTTCTTCAAATAAAGCAAAACTATGCTGGGAGAGAACTTTACTTGGTACACACCCACTTCCAAATTAAAAAAAAAAAAAAGGAAAGCAGTAGTTTCTCTCCCCATCTGCCCAACTATGGAGACAGAGGGATGTATGGTTCAAAAGTTTAACGGGGTATTTTTATTCCCAGCCACACCAAAAAATAACATCCTTCAGTGCTATTTCAGAAATTTAGAAGCACCATTTAAGTTCATCAAGTTATTTGCTAAAGAACATATTCGAAAGACCTGAAACTGAACCTCAAAGTCCATCCGAAAACAGACCAAAGATTGGGGGTTTTCCAAGCAAAATCAACGTGTGATTTAAATCTCACTAAGACTAGTTCCTATATTTTAACAAGGGAAAAATATTTTTGGTATTTTTACAGAGCCAAGAGCTTCTAGAAATAGCAGCTCTGGGTACCTGTCATCTGGTGAGTTTGCAGCAGCCTGATAGCGAACCTCCAGGGAAAAACACGCAAAAGCGAAAAGGGTTTCTAAAAGTAGGTGAAGAGTCAGCAACGTAAATTCTAGCAAATACCTTGCTTTCCGGTCACACCTGCAACTAAAAAATCAGGAGTTCCGGCCAGGCATGTGGCTCACGCCTGTAATCCCCGCAACTTTGGGAGGCCGGGGTGGGTGGATCACAAGGTCAGGAGTTCAAGACTAGCCTGGCCAAGACGGTGAAACCCTGTCTCTATTAAAAATACAAAAATTATAGTAGAACGATTTATAGTCCTTTGGGGGAGCTGGGGAGGGAAAGCCTGGGGAGAAATGCCAAATGTGGGTGAAGGGGAGAAAGGAAGCAAAACACACTGCCATGTGTGTACCTATGCAACTGTCTGGCATGTTCTGCACATGTACCCCAAAACCTAAAATGCAATAAAAATTTTTAAAAAAAATACAAAAATTAGCCGGGTGCAGTGTCAGGTGCCTGTAGTCCCAGCTACTTGGGAGGCTGAGGCAGGAGAATCGCTTGAACCCAAGGGGCAGAGGTTGTGGTGAGCCGAGATCGCACCATTGCACTCCAGCCTGGGTGACAGAGTGAGACTCCAACTGAAAAAGAAAATCAGGAGTTCAAGTTTGAATCCATTTATCCTAGATGCAAACTCTGCCAGGACCCAATCCTAGAAACTTCTGACTTTCTCTCTAAATGGATCATGTGTTTTGACAAGAGAAAGAACAATCCATCCTTCCTCAAAGGCAATGCACAGTGAGATGGCCAGGGCTGGAAACCTCAGGACAGTAGATGCCTCCCCATGGCAAAAACATAGGCCAGGGCCTCAGCCACCACCTGCATTTGAGTCCCTCTGCCTTCTTCTGACTGCTTCATTTCCTCCTTAGTCACCCCTAAGACTGTGTGTTTCTTTTGTTATTACATCCCCTCCTTACAAAACTTAGTCAAATTCAGCACTTCCCAGAACTTGGGATACACAGATGCTCACAGGTGCTCTGCCACCAAATGGTCTCAGGATCCAATACTTTTAGGAAGCTGTGAGTTAAGGATGGCTTAAAATGTTTCCTTTGCTGAAGGATTTCTCCAAGCCTTCAATATGCTAATGTGTATTGAGAAAGACTCATTTTCTAAATTGTTTTGACATGGATCCCTTTTGTGTGTCATACTTATTAACATCTCACTAAAATTAGTGAGTGAAACCCTTTTTGAGTTCAGCAAGAGTCTAATTGGAGGCTACTTGACACAGAACCCAACCCTGGAATATGAAACAACAACTTTAATAAGGCCACACTTTTCCCCCAGCCTCTAATTCACCTTCTCAAAGTCCTAAACTTGGGGGGAGAGGGATGTCTATTGCCCTTGTCCTCCAATCTGAGTCCCTATGATACGTATTTGAACTAATAATCAGAGGCAAAGAAATGTTAAAAGGCTTAAAATTGATCCTTGAGGTCCTTTGCACAGCCCCGTTGGCCATAAGACTTAGGGATCAGATTTACTGGCAAGCAGTGTTCTGGGTGTGCCAAGAGTATCCCACACCTCCTTAGACAAATCTATAAGACACAAATAGCTGGAGTTGATATACTAAAGGAGATAATGGGCATAATAGCGTTAGCTGTAATAAAATATAAGGGATTATTATTATTTTCACATCATTAAGTCAGCCCTTTTATATATCATCATGCACAATTAAGCACTTAATAAATACTTTTTAGTATTGTAATAATAAAACTGAGTAAACTCGATCTGTGAATTTCAGTTTGCAATTAAGTTTCTAAAACACAGAGATATGGAATGACATATGGCCAAAGTGGGGAGAGATGAGCGCAAAAGAAGGGTGTCGACGTGAGTAATGAAGTAGGTGAGCCTGCGACCCAGCAGGACTGGTTGGACAGGTTGAGATTTACCACCACAGGACCCAGAGATGACATCATGGGAATCCATATAAGACCAGCGATGCGTTTACGTGGCTGACAATTCCCAAACCCATCTGAAAAGTATGGCTGCTCATAAGTGAGCCAATGTTCCACACATACAAAGACAGAATATTCTAGATAAGTCAGAAAGGTGAACATTGATGGGGAAAGGGGGACAACGTAAGAGGAAAGAACAGGAAGGAGATAAAACAGCGGAGATTTCTCCAATTCAGTACCCAACAGAGTTTCTGCTCTCTGGAAAGACAAAGGCATTTGCACTGAGTGTAGTGTCTGTGAATCCCATTACATCATATAAAGGGTACCCCAGGCTCTACTGGTTCAAGAAGAGGCAACCAAGCATCATCAACCCCAAAGCACCAGTTGATGTTGCCGACTCCCAGTTCATCTGTAGACCCCACTGAAAGGAAATAAGAATCTAGGACCCAGAAGACAAGAAGTGGCTCAGACTACCCCAGTGAAGAGAGCCTGGGAGGGTGGTTAACTCTTATCCTCACCCCCCACCCCAATGCCCCAACCAATTTTAATTCAAGGTAGGAATGACGGTTAACATTTCCTAGATAAGGTAATAACCTGTTGTAAGACAATCTTCTAAGAGAGGTAATCAATACAAAAAAAAAAAAAAGCAGGGGCCAAGTAGACCAGACCTAGCCCTGCTGATAATTGGCTCTGGGAACTTGAAGCAATTTTTGCTCTCAGTCATTCAGTGATCACCTCTGTAAGACAGGAGGAGCAAAAGAGATCGTGAAAGTGAAGGTGCCTTGAAAGTGTAATGCACCATGGCATGTGAAAGGCCTGTTCTAGATGAGCTAAGCAGGGTTCTACTTTTGATTGGCTGCAGCCACCATCACGTAACTTAATAGAACCCATTTCCCTCTTTCATCCCCGAGAAATGCCAAAACCAACCTGGGTTTAATCAAGAGACCTATGTTTCCCCGATATACTTAGCTCAGAAAGATTGTCCATGGGACCCCAATGCCTTCTCCTTTACTCTGTGTATCCATTTGTATTTTCTCAGTTATGTTTTTACTTTCTGTATGTGTCCAATTTTATTTTCAATAATTAACCTGGATTTTAGGTTTTAATAGCCTAAATATCAAATTTTGTTAGTTCAGCTGTATAGTTAAAATGCTTTTACTCTTTTGCCCTTAATTAATGGATACCATTCAACAATGAAGAGTTCTGTTTAATCTTTTTTTCTCTAATGAGATTTCAATTATTCTTTGTTTGCACATGGCCCAGGAGAGGCTGTTCTTGGGGGCTGGCTGAAGAAGTCATGCAAGTTGGCCTCCCTTAATAGGAAAAGATTCACTGTGACTATAAAATCGAGAGCTTCCCCACCTGGTAGTTATTTAGGAAGCTGATTTTTTAACTTAATCACAGGATTTTTACACTTATATTAAATTCCACTTTTGTTAGTTTTGACCTAGCAATTCATCCTGGACATCCGTTTTTAAATTAAGCTTTTATTGTGTTTTTTTAAATGATTTTTTAAAGCAAAGACTTACAAAGTCAACGGAAGGCCCAGTCTTCTTTCCCCAGCCCACTGTGCCACAGTCAGAAAGCAGAGTCTGTAATACTGAATGGCTATTTACTCCACACACAGTTACACAGTTTGGGAAAATCCACGGGAGGAATACCTCCCAAAGGCTGCCAACACTGTGTATCCAGATATAATATTATCCTGAAAATAACCCAAAAAGCCAGCTATTGTTTTGACTTTAGGACATACATACTTCTAAGATGATGAAGACATCAAATAGAACCCAAATCACAAACACACAACTTGATCTTTACTATAAAAATGTATCAGGTGAGCCATTGAGAGTATTGGTAAATTCTTCAGCTGGCAATGATCTTGGTCTCCATCAGAGACAAGCTGCATTAAAATAAGACCCTTGAAAGGGGTTACTTCAGAGCCTCAGGGAGAGGAGCTTGTCAACTGCCAAGTAATTTCAAGAGAGAATTCAGTTCCTCTGGAAACAGGTTTTGACAATGGCTCTGTGGGCCAAAGAGTTGAGCAGGCAGAGGGCACTGAGTTCCCGCCCCTTCCATGACACTTGAGGCTTTGCTCTCCAAACAGATGACTTCATTCCCAAAACAATGCTTTTTTTCTGAGAAGCTGCCAGTTCATACACATTATAAAATAAATTCTATCATTGACATTGGAGTGGCAGAAACTGCAAACATTGCTTTTTTTAAAAGTACACAAGTTGGGAAAGGTAAGCTGGAAAAGGAACAGAATTTCTCCTCCAAAAAATAATTTCTCTCCAAAAAGGTAACCATAAAAACTAAACACCTAATCAACAATCACTTTATCAGCCACAGTATTGACTAAGGAGGTATGTGAAGCTATGCACAAGTACTTTACCTCCGCCTGGATACAGCGTCTTGAAGAACAAATCCTAGTAACGTCTAAATCTTCTCTCCCCTTAGCTTCTCAGGGAACCACCTTAATTAAAGGAAGAAAAAAACAACAGATGATCTGTCCTTACTCAAAGCCTCATTGTTTTGTTTTGTTTGGAACATCCTATGTCCCGTATCTCCCAAGGGGTACCAGAGGGGAACAGAGATACAGACAAGGAGGACTCTCTGCATGTCATATTCTCCCTTCAGTGCAAACAGCAAGGCAGGAGAAGAAACACTTCCTGGTGATGCTTGACCTGAGCCCACATAAGCCTGAGCCATGGCTGTGAACACACTTGGAAGATGTACAAAAAATGAGAGTTTGCACAGGATAAATCTATTCCATTATTTATACCCACCCCCAAAGCTTTGGATTTCTTTCTCTATGTCAAGGGTCCTCAAACTTTTTCTGCAAATGTCCAGAGAGTATATATTTTAGGCTTTCTGGACCAATGGGCTTTCTGTCTTCCCTTTCTCCTCCCCTTTTCCCTCCTCCTCCTTCTCTGATCCTTCTTCTTTAAATTATGAAAACTGTTCTTAGCCCACAGACTTGACCCATGGACCATAATTTGCTGACTCATACTCTACATTATGCCACAGAAGTTGTGACATCTCAGCCTCATAGAATATAGGCCATCATTTAGCCCAAGTTTCAGTCAACTAACCATACTGTCAGGCCACCTCCAGCTAGTTATGCTGACACATTAAATCCAGAATCTCTGGTAAGTGTACCCATATCAATAAATTCAGGCTGACCTCATATTATATTCTATTCTCCTTGGTCTAATACACTTTGAATTTATTCTCACAATACTGCATACTCCCCAGATGTCTGCTGTTAACTAAACCATGCAATTCTCTGGAAGTCTATGCTATCTCTTTCCTGTACCTGAGGGGATCTGACTTGATGTACAAGTCTTGAGGCAATGAAGAATGGGTCTTGATGGGAGTGGGAGAATAAAACACTCTCACAAGACAATAGGATAAGATGAGATGAAGAGTTTTCAACCAGGGAGGAGATATCCTCAGACATGGAAGAAGGAGCTTGTTCTACTAGCAAGGAAAGTTAGGAATGCTTGCAAAATTCAAAATTTTTGGCTTTTTCTGAGTCCATTCAGAACACCCTTATTTCAAATATCAAGGTCTCACTTCTTCCCAATCAGTTCTCCAACTTACACATAAGAATTTGGTGAGTCTGTGATTTCAATTTAGATTATAATTCTGCAATCCACATAAAACTGGAGTTTAGGCTTGCAGTGATGGTTGCTCCACAGCAACAGGAAATATAATGGTCTTTTATAGAGTAATCGTAGAAGTTCTCTGGCTTTCTGACTGACACTTTAGCTGAGAATTTAAAAGCCTAAACTTGTTTTTTTCTTTTTCTATTCCTCCAGTGCAGACAGAAAAACCATCTCATGCCACAGTCCTTGCAGCCATGATTACTACATAAGAGTCAAGCACGGTAGTCATTTGGTGCCCCAAGAAATGTACTTTATCAGGAAATTTAACAGAAACTTTATCCTAAGTGACAGAAGTTGATAGTTTAATTATTTTCCACTGCATTCCATGAACTAAGAGTATCCTTTGGAAAGGAGCTCAGGGCTGCATTCAAAGCCAAAGTCATAACCAAATCAATCCATAAATATCATCATGTATAGTCTGTCCAATAGGACTATTCTTATTAGAAAAATTTTATCCACTTGAAAGAAGAAAGAAGAGAAGGAAGAGGAAGAGAGGAAGGGGAGGGAAGAGGAAGGGAGGGAAGAGAAAAGGGAATGGAAGGGGAAGGAAAAGAAAAGGGAAGGAAAGGGAGGGGAGGGGAGGGGAGAGGAGGGGACGGGAGGGCAGGGGACAGGAGGGCAGGGCAGGGGAGGGGAGGGCAAGGTTATACCAAATATTTAAATAAAAAGAATTTAATACAGTAATCTCCCCTTATCCATGGGGCATATGTTCCAAGTCCCCAGTGGAGACCTGAAACAGCAAGTAGGATTGAACCCTATGTATACTATGTTATTTCAATCTAAAACCAAGAAGGCTACTAAGTGACTAACAGGCAGGTAGCATCTCCAGTGTGGATATGCTGGACAAAGGGATGATGATTCCTGTACTGGGCAGACCAGAGCGAGACCCAGAGGGATGGCACACATTTTATCACGCTACTGAGAATGGTACACAATTTAAAAAGTATGAGTTGTTTATTTCTGGAATTTCTATTTAACATTTTCAGACCACAGCTGACCATGGATAACTGAAACCACAGAAAGAGAAACCATGGACCATGGATAAGGGGAGACTACTGCTTAGGAAATTGTTTTTACAGGTGTTGGAAATATGAAAGAACAAATGGAAAGCATTAAAATGACCCAGAGATAAGAATCTACAACCCTTAGGACTAGGTGAATAAAAGAGAAGTGGTTGGGATTATCAAAACCTAGAAGCTCAAAAGAGGGCAATCCATTAAACCAGGGCTTAGCCCTCTGAGGAGATAGTACTGTACTTCCCAGCTGCTGACAGAATCTCAGCGTCTCAGAGGAGCCGCCCTATTGAGCTGGGGCTCAGATCTCTGAGAAAGAATGAACACCTGGCTCCCAACTATATCTCTGGAGAGGTAAGATGAAGCTAGTTCTGGCAATGGTAAAAGAAAACAAAGACAAGAGTAAACTTTCACTGACAAGACCAACGAGAAATAGGAAGTAAGCTCCTACCTTCCAGTCTTCTCCCAGTGACAGAAATTAACAGAACCCAATAGGAAGTCATCTGGCAAAACAGTATGGGATATGTAATTGGCAGAGTTCTAAATCTAGCACCACAGAGCAGAGTATACAATTGTGGGCTTGGGGCTGAGAGTCAATAGGCAAGCTATCAACACAGACAGTGGTATGTTTCTCAGTGTCTTTCTGTTTAAAATAGGCCTCGTGGCTTCTATAATACCTTTTAACATTTTATAACTATACTCATTACTTCTTAAAATTTTTTATTTGCATAGGTTATGTGGGAACAGGTGGTATTTAGTTACATGAGTAGGGTTTTTAGCAGTGATCTGTGAGATTTTGGTGCATGCATCATCCAAGCAGTATACACTGAACCCTATTTGTAGTCTTTTATCCCTCACTCCCTTCCCATACTATCCCCCTGAGTCCCCAAAGTCCATTGTGTCATTCTTATGCCTTTGCATCCTCATAGTTTAGCTCCCACTTGTGAGTGAGAACATGTGATGTTTGGTTTTCTATTCCTGAGTTACTTCACTTAAAATAATAGTCTCCAATCTCATCCAGGTTGCTGCAAATGTCATTAATTCATTCCTTTTCATGGCTGAGTAGTATCCCATCATATATATATATGCCACAGTTTCTTTATCCACTTGTTGATTGATGGGCATTTGGGTTGGTTCCATATTTTTGCAGTCGTGAACTGTACCGTGATCTTAATACTTTAAAATTACATTCTTGTCTGTCACACCAAAATCCAAGCCTCAGACAGGAGAACCGTGCCTACAAAATGCTTCTTCACACAACATTTGTGAATCATCACAATTTAACTTCAATTTTCTTACCTTGGTTCTTTTCTTGGTTTTGGCAGATAATGCTGAACACTGAGGTAAACTCAAAGCCAAGGTCATAACCAAATAAATCTACAAATATCATTATTTATAGTCTGTCTAATAGGACTATTATTAGAAATACTATATCCATTAAAAGAAGAAAGAAAGAAGGGAAGGAAAGTGGATGAGAGAAAGAGAAGGGGAGGGGAGGGGAGTGGGGGGAAGGGGGAAGAAGGAAGGGTGAAGAGGGAAAGGAAGGGAAGAGAGAAGGGAAAGAAAGGGAAGAGGGAAGGGAACAGGGAAGGGGAGGGGAGGAGAGGGAAGGGGAGGGGAGGAGAGGGAAGGGGAGGAGAGGAGAAGGAAGGGAAGGGGAGGGAAGGGAAGGGGAGGGGAGGGGAGAAGAGGGGAGGGGAGGAGAAAGAGAAGGGAAATGTGTTTCCTAAAGCATATGTTAAAAAGAAGATATAGATAAACATCACCAAAAAGCTGAAACAGGGCCACAGAGGAGCCAAGCTCTACTATATTCTACAGAATAAGTCTTGGAGTAACCAAGAAGCACTACCTTCCATCTATAGTATAAAACAACAATAACAGTAGTAAAAATGTATTGAGCTAAGGCACTATGTACTAGGTATTAAGTTATTTACACACATAAATTCATTGTATTCTCCTATCCTATGCAGTACAAGTTAATGTTCTTTTTTTATTACAGATGAGGGATTGAGAAACTAGCCTGCATTCGTTTTATCTATATCTTAAAACAATATGTAAACTAGGAGTATTATATAGAGAGCTACAGCATATATATTTAGATAGGTAGATAGATGAGAAAGAGAGAGAGAGAGATTTAACTCTTCCTAGGCTCACCCATTTGAAGAACCCAACACCTTAACACACACAGTCACATTGACGTTTGACACAGAAAGCGTCTTTGGCAGTTTCTTTGGTCTATTTCCAGTGAAAATAGAGAGCAATAAACTCATTCCAGATTCAGATTCCAGAACTTTTCAGAGGCTGAAGATAGTGGTGATCTGTCTGTGAGGCCTCCATGTGTATCATTTCTCAGAAGCCAGCTAGCAGACCAGGCCACCTGCCAGAAAATGGTTAGCACATTTATGTCAGCTGGTTTGTCAGCCAGGTACCATGGCTTTTTCTAACTCATGGCTTCCGAACCATGAGAACATAAAACCACAATGGCAGCCAAGATACCAATAAGAACCCTTTCTTTGTATGCCACACTAGTGGCTCTACAAAAAGGTATGTGACATATTTTTGTGCAGTGTAACTGGCAGTTCAGAGCAGCAAATCCCTTCTGACCTGATGTGTCTCCTCTACAGCTGTTTTGAATTCACTTTCTGTAGACAAAAGCAGAATGAGTGAGAAAATAAAGGATACTTTGATATTTGTTAAGAGCAACTGCAGCCAGATTCTCTCCCAGATCATTTTGGAGCCCTGTCCAATGGTCAAAAGACACATCAAATTAACTCAACTCTAAGAATCTAGTT